CGTCTCGCCGCTTGAGGTCGGGTTAAGCGTCCGCAAGCACATTGGCGTTTAGTGTTTAACTTGTTGCGAAATCCACGATATCTCATGCGTTAACTACTCGATCGTGACCTCGAGCAAGGCTAGATGTACCCTTCTCCCCTCGTCCGCTGAAAGCTGGGCTACAGCGGAAATGCAACCGCCTTCGTTGCGCTCGATGAGGTACCACTGGCAGACGAAAATGGTGCAGTCATCTTTGTATGTCCATGATCGACCGTGGGGGCTGGGAAGCCCAACGTACACGATGTGGGGGAGGATCTTCCCGACAAGAGATGCGAACCACTTGTCACATGAGGAGGTGGTGAAAGGCTCGGTTCCGAAGTTGAGAGCAACTCCGACAAGAGGAATATTGGCCAAGGACGATAGCTTAGTAATCTAGATGTGTTGAGTTAGTACAAGACGCTGACAGACTGAAGGCACTCACTAGGAATACTTCAAATTCCTGCTCGCGCTGGCTGGCATCTCTTGCGTACATGATCATGTACTGCAAGAATTTCACACCGTGCAGGCCCTTCACACAGTCGAGAGCGCAAGTGGACAAAACGTCGTGATCGTAACACGTAAGTGCCACGGGAGAGGCAGCTTGTAGAAAGGAGTGCCAGCCCTGGTTCAGCTGAAAACAATGAAGTCGGCGGATAGGAATCCAAGGGACCGCATTCATGCCAGTAGCAATGATATCGGCCCGGTCAATGCGGGTCCAACAGCTACTCGCCTGAGACTCGTTAAGGTCCATTTTGGTTGTCAGCGCATCCTTATAGCGAACGAGCCTCAGGTGAGACACATTTGGGAACGCTTGTGAAAGCGTGGATAGGTCTGATATCGGTCCCGTCAATTCCAGAGTACGAATAGAGCGCCAAACTCCAGTGGTACCTGCTCGGATGGATTCGCATTCAGGGATGCAGTCCAGTTGAATTCGGAGATCTGCAACGGACATTGGAAGGTGCTGTAATATATCCAAGGTAGACTGGGAGCTTCCCATGCTGACGCTGCTGGAAGTTATACAGATCCGAGTCGGGCGACTGGTCAGCCGTGACATGCATCCGAAAGTGAGACTGCCAGCCTGTGCCAATGTAAGATCCGATATACGTGGAAGTGACGCGACCGCGTCGAGGAGTAAAGGTGCTGCACGGAAGAGCTCCTCGCATGGCGAGAGATAAAGTCGTTCGAGTCGGAACGCATATGAGAGCACCGTAGCCAAAGACATGGCAAAGGAAAAACTATTAACAAGCAACGCAGTCAGATCGAGAGCTTTGAGACAAGGTCCCCAGCGGGCGATATCCGAAAGCATGAATTTGCAAAATCTCGTGATCATGGACGGGATGTCTCCGTAACAAGCGGGTATTCGAGAGCCGAGCTTGACCTCTGAGAGAAAGCGAGGCATGGCATAGGCGTAGGCGGTGCGACACGTCATTGCAAGCTGCCGTGCATCCAGAGGAGAAATGTGAGGAAGCAGGTATATGAGGATATCATCGTTTAGAGCTCGAAAGAGAGACATATTGTATAACTACAAGACACCTGTTAGTGATAAAAGTGCGGTTCTGAAATCACCCAACCGCTTACTATGGTCCAATGCTAGAATCAAAACCTCATCCCGAGAAGTCAAAGTTGAAGCTGATTGTCAACACCACCAGAATGTACTTGGTGCGCACGTCGGAACGCCAAGAGACTTCAATGGTGTTAAAAGGGATGGCGAGGCCCCGAGTCAAAGATGAGCATCCCCATGCCCCATAGGATTGCCCGTCAATCAGCCAGACGGATTTGCGCACCAGCTCACGAGATTTTACGCGAGGTAGAGAACGTGAATGGAGATCATTTCGTACTTGAAATGCTGTAGCTGATCATGCTTCGTGTCGACCCCGCGTATTTCTCATGACGCTCCTGATGCCATGACTTTGCGCAGATCAACCGCTTCTCGGGAAAAACGTCATCGAGAGAACCCGCAGCCGTCTTGACTCGTGTACGTCAAGCGAGTGTCTAGATGCCAGTGATTTTTGCCAGAGCTGAATCTCCGTTGAGGTCGCGAGAAGCCATAGGGATGTGTAATGATGAGCTTTTATTCAAGACTGTACGCCACCGCCAAAGGTGCGAAAAGACGTACCATCTATTATAGCCCATCAATACTGTATTTTAGCTCTGAGTTCACGATGAGCAACAATGTCATATAATTTAAGCTATATGGAATCCTTGCATATTGCACAGGGTGAAATTGAATGAGTGCCGAATGAATCTGCGCGGCGAACACTAGGCGACCCCAACGGGCGTTATGCAACAGGCGCCGTCGATCAATCTCCGCTTGAGGATATGGTTCCTGACTCCGAACTAGGCCTGTACGGGTACTGACCTACTCAATCTCCACTGGAGGCTACTGGATGCCGGCAAGTTCACATTTGGATTGCAATCAATATCTGTGGGCTGCCAGAGATTCACATTGAATTAATTCCACACTCTGGCGAACCTGAGCGGACTAGATCACTCTAACTCGATTCTCCCGATGCGCTCAAAATGTAGCTACTCTGGCAACGGCTGGTCATATAACCTACGCTCGAGCGAGAATATTGATTCGGATGACGACAATGAATATAGAACGCTCTCTCAGCCAGCAGAAGATGTTGCAATTGGAGACCCTACTTCCGAACTTGACATATCTTCTCGTACGGACGCTGCCGATTACAAGCCGAATCCTTGGACAATCGCAAAAGTGAATGCTGCGTCCCGTAAAATCAATGCAAAGCATCCTGTCAAAAACAAACCCATAACTTCACGACTCGTTCAAGGAGACCCATCACCACCAAATCGACACCAAGGTCGAATAACGGGGAGCTCTCCCCTGAAGGCCTCTGCCGAAAAGAATATAGGTATCATTTCCGACTTGAAATTTCACCTTGAGTCGGAGAGTTGATCAGAATGTATACTTAGGGTATCCCATACATTTTAAAAACACACAGTCTTCTTGTTCCAAAATCCTGCAACCCCGTGCCCAATCGCCGCAAAAGCTAGCGAGTTCTTTGCGTGACAGTCCTCAGCCGTCAGTTCCTCCGTATTCTACTAGAAACTCGAAGAGGCCTACTAGTCCACGTCCATTGGTCCCTGTCTCAGCTTCTGCTCTATTACCTGACTCAGTCCACCGTACTAATCCCCTAAGTCACCAGCATATAGTCGGTTCAGGAAATTGTCTCGCTGCCCTAACCAAACCGCGACATTCCGTTTTTGGTCGAAATGGTCATTCCCAGCCTGAATTGCTCAAGAAAGGTACTTTTCTCTATGCACCCCTTGATCATGTTATTCAAACTTGTGATAACATCAGGTACCAAATTACCCCATGTGCCAGCTATTCCCGGAGAAAACGTTCTTATCAACACACCAACAATCGCAGTTTCTATACAACCCGTAAACAGTTTCCAGACGCCTTGCTTTCCACGTCATGAATTGGGAATGGGCGAGAACGATATTCTAAAGCGTGATACAACGGTAGGTATTTGTCAACCTGCATATATGCACTGTTTCTCGTTTTAGATCCGACATTATTGGCCTAATTAACGTAAACAGCATCTGCCGGATCCTCAGTATGCATTGCAGAGCGTATCTCCCTGTTCTGCGCCTCCCCAACCCGTCTTGAAGCGGAAATTGCCCGCGCAGGTATAGTATAGCATTAGCATTCACCCTGGTGCCACTGATCCAACGAGCTCAGACCGAGGATTGCAAGGGGCCCAAGCAGCCTCCGGCGGCAAAAGATAATCCATCCCGGCACGACGTACCTACCACCAGTGAATCCCCACGCCTCTGCCCGACTGGTCTGGATTTGAATATCAAGCCTGTAGTGGAAGCCCCAGATACTTATGCCGCAGACAGCATCTGGTCTACGCTTCCCTCTATGAAGAAACGTAAAGTCGGTATTAAAAATGATGCGCCGTTCGTACTCTCGCGTCAGTTTAGGCTCCCTCTCGGGTTTCCGACTACGCATCGGTCCTCCGTACAACATGCTGTCGATGCGAAAGACAAAAGTAGGACCATCAAGTACTTGCCTCCTCCTGCCAACCGCGCTCTTGTAAGCTTATCCCAAAATCCTTCCGAGGCTACTGTGCTAGCGATTCAACTACTGTGGAATTCACTGACGCTCTACCTCCTTAATCTAAGCATGATATTAATCGATTTTGTTGTCTGTTCAGCAGGGTCCTGATCCAGGCGCGCAAGTCACGACATACGAACCCAGGGGCCTTGGTGATGCTCACAACGCCCGGGTGGCAATTTTACAACCAGCCGTTGCCTCCAGGATCCAGCCGCCTGCCCGCACCAGATACGGCCTACCGTCCCCGCCGACGTCGGATCCGCCCGCTGTTCCCGGTATCGAAAGCGCGCTGGAGCAGTATTCAGATGACACCCCTTATATGCGTATCTCTGATGATTTTGAAGGAGAGGCAAGATCTAAATACGTCGGGATGAGACAGCGCATCGCCGAAGTACGTCTGCCTGCTCGAAACTGATCTCGTGTGTCGTTTTGCCTGCTTTCCACAAGTGACTCTATCAGCGTCTCTTGTCGTCTCCGGATTCCCGCTCTCGGGTGCTGTGTCGATACTGGCGTGACTGATCTGATAGGCGGATGGCCCAGTAGCGAAAGCGACTATCAGCTCAAACCTGGTATCTCCTCAAACTTCCCAGCTGTGGGGTCGTTTTCTGCGATCCGCTGCAGTCACCAGGGAACTCGGGCACCGACGAACAGAACAAGGAGAGCAACCCTAAAGATAATGCCGCTGCAGAGATTGCTATTGTGAGGTGGAGCATGTAGTTCATATAGTACCTCTATGGATAGGCGGACCGCTGCTTGTGATGTATATCTCTGAGTATTCAACATGAATTGCTATGAATCGTACGATACATGAAAGGCAGGACGCGGTGCGTTACAAGACGAGGGCAGATATGAATGAGCTTAGCTATACCGACGTAAGTACATATCGAGGGGGAGGTATCGCGATGGAGGAAAGCGAGAGACGTGGGTGTAGTATATGGGAGGTGTCGCAGTGGGTACGGCAAAGCAGATAGACGTATCGTCGAGGGTCATAGGCCGGTACAAATCAGCAGACATATGACAAGATAGGATAGGAAATCGACATAACACCGCAGTGTATCAGCGAAGCGCAAACCAAGGAAAAGCACAGATGCGTGAAGTAGATTATATGACTTTCCAAAAGACACCCGCGGGGAACAGTATAAAGGAGATTATGGTACGGTCACAGACCTGGGAAGACGTTACTTCACGCCTCGCGCGCTTCATCTCCGGCGCGGACAGGACCCATCGCGCGGCGGACAGGGTCGCCATCTTTCTCCGGGAGGCGCGGAGCACCGTGCGCCCGAGTGTGCGTTTTGAGGACCTCGTCCATGCTGATAGAACCCCGGCTGCTCGTGGCTGCGAGTCGCTTTGCGAGTCGCTGGGCCATCGCGGCTTGCATTGCGGCCTCGACGTCCTCCGCCGAAGGTTTGATCAGCGGCTCGTGGCGCCGAGAAGTCAGCGTGCCCTCGACAGCCTCGTTATCTGACCCGGCTGATACAGCGCGAGATTGCGGCCGTGTACGCGGAAGCGGACGTATGGGCCGAGGCGGCGTTTTAGGCGCGTCGTCATCGAGTACCGCAGCTTGTATCTCCGTTGGCTCTGAGCGGGTCTCCCGTGGAGCGCGACGCCGTAGATCTCGACGGGCCTCAGGGAAGAGCATCCTTGGGGCATAAGTTGGCGGAGGACTGTATGCGGGATGCGTGACTGGGAGCATCGAGGAGGCTTCGGTGTCAGACTCGTCGGGTGGCGCACCAGGGGACTTGTAGTGCGGATTGGCAAGCTCGACTTTAGTGCCACGGCTAGAATGAGCAGAATCGTGTCGTGAGTTCATGACATGTACGCAATACTAGGAGAGCGGTTTAAAGGATACGCACAAGACCCAGGTCATCGTCGGCTTCTCAACATGTCGCCGAGGCGTGCGGGGCTCGGGAAGCTCATCCTCGTCGTCGACGGGAGATTGCGACTGCGATGGCTCGCCCAAGATGAACGGATTGTCGGGAGAATCACGAATAGGGAACAGCTGTGGCTTCTGCGACCTTGTGGCCGGACGCGGAGGGGGCGTCCGTAATCTCACAGAAGGGCGAAGCTTGGGCTGGCGACGCGATGGCGGAGGGGAGGCCAAACCCGTGTGTTGTCTGCGCAGGAGATGTGGCGCAGGAGGGGGCGATGCCGACAGCGAACGCGTACGCGACCTGGCGCGTTGCGATTTAGATTCCGTCTGCGACGCATCTTTGAGATCGCGACTGGCTGCCGTAGTGGACGGGCCCATCCAGAATTCTTCCTCCGCCTTGGACTCGCTCAGCTCCTCTGCAATGGCGTCCAGCGTCCTGCGCTTTTTGTTCCCCAGCACGAGCGCGCCGTTCGCGTCACGCTGGGCGCTGTCCTCCGTGTCGCTCGGGCAAGCATTGTCGACACGGGGTACGGGCAGTTCGTCCTCTTCAGAGTCAGAGTCCGTTACGCGCGAGCGCGCCCGCTTGCGCTTCGTCGCTGTGCGAGGAGGTGTGGGAAGCGACGCAAGAGAGTCGGCGCGCTTGATGGGCCTTGGTCGCGTCACTGAAGGACCGTCGCTGACAGCGATGGGATGGCGAATTCTAGGCATGGAGAACGGTAAAAGGATAACAGCCCAGGAAAGGGTAGTAGTGAATGAAGGGGGAAAGGAGGGTGCGTGTGGTTGATCTGCGCAACGGTGGGCGGGAGACGCGGGCGGGCCACAACGACATCCGCTGTTGGGTTCCAACAATGAGTCGGCATCTCCCGACACCAAACATGCCACAACACGCCTTGTCTCTGGCTCGCGATTTGCCCGCGATCGCAGGCTTGTTCTCGAGTTAGGTGCAGTTACTCAAAATACTCGCTGGGCGGACTTGGGCTGAATGGCTTTCATCACAATTGATGCTATCACTCTTTTTGGATGTCATTACTTAGCAAAATGTTGAGCAAAAGCTTGCAAACAAGATCCCAATTGATGTTGTGTGCTTGGGCTGCTTCGCGGACGTCACCGGAACTTTGCCCCGCCCAATCTTCGTCTCGCAGACTCTACTTAGCACCAGGCTTTCCTAAAGTCCAACTATGCCGTAGCCCAAGGCCTTCGTGTCAATGAGAAGGCTCGAATGTCGCAATTGTGTATTGTCATGAAATGCCCGTGTCTTGATGCAGGGATGGACTGACTCCACATGATATTGGAGGCATTGGCGTTCAGTCCTACCACTCTTACTTGAATATGCAGGTGAGTTTGACTTCCTCGTGCGCATGTAAGTTTTTTTCTTGATTGCCTCTAAACAATGTTCCGCCTTGCAGGAGTTTGGATGCCTTGTTTAAAAATGTGCCAACTTCAATTTGTTTGCCTCAGATTCCGATTAAGCGCTACATATATGCTGCCCTGCTACGATCACAATGTACAATCCTTGATTACTAATACTAAACCATCTGGCTTGTAGCGAATTCGCGTGTACGCCAGACCGTGCCATCCGGGGTTTGATATTACATAGTGAGTGGATCTTGTGCGTCATATACAGAAGGTGCTCATCAAGTTGCATCAAAGCAGGTTGTCATGGGAACCAGCATGTCCTATGCAGAAACACCAATCTAGTTCAGCCTATCAGCCTCTCGGATAATTGACTCCATGGATGAGGTATGTTATGACGGTCTATGCGCCTAGGCTGAACGTTTGCACGCGAAGACTCGCGGCCGTTACCGATAAAGAAGTTCCCATATGCTTTGCACCCGCGAGAGGAAGGCGACTGCGTGAGAGTGTGAGAGTGGCGACGGACGTCCGACGAGGGGAGTGACATGAATTGGTGCGAGGAATGACCAACGCGAGGTAGCTGCGAGTTCTAATTTTCAAAGTTTGTCTGGCATGTTTGATGTGGACCGCCAACCGCAGGCAATACGATGCTGACATGACGATCGAACGCTGACCGGGAGTGTGAAGATCTGAAGCGAGTTGAGGCGAGATTGCTAAGGATATGGATTCAGGGGGTGTGACACGGTGCGAATGTCGCGCATGGTTGGAGAGTGCTCGTCGTGAGTGCATCGATTAGAGAATTTCGTATATGTGCTGACAAATGGAGCTACGGCCCGCGTACACGAGCTGGGTCTACAGGGACCGGGATGCAATGTCGGTGTGAATGCGGCGCCCGGGCTGTGTCCATCGCTGTGAGTGCGAGGGCAAGAGAAAGGCGAGGGGTTTGCTCTGGAACGGGAGACGAACTGGCGAAGTGAAGCTTGGATGGCATGACGAACGCGGATTCGGACATTGGAAACGCGGAGTGGAGCGTCGAGAGGAGGAGATAGCAAACGCGTCTGATGGGCGTGTGCAACGAGCTCTGGGACATGTCCGGACCGCAGACGGCCGGCGAGGGATCAGCCAGAAACTGGAATATGTGTGGCTGGCTTGGTGGCGTCATGAGTGAAGTAGCTCAGTACTCGTGACGTCGCCGGGTTCCGAGCGGCCTGCGCTCTGGCCTTCGCGCTCACCGGCACAGCAGACGAAGACAGGGGAGAGCAGCAGCAGAGCGAGGACGGCGAACGTGGAGGCAGAGCGATGAGAGAGATTGCGGCGTCCGCGAACACGTTTGGCGAATAGCGAGCGAACAGTCGCCGAAGCGTCGAAAACAAGCTTTGCCGAGGTGCCGCGGCCGGATATGGCAAGGCCGAGAGGAGGACGCGATCGAGAGCACATCCTGCAAGCCAGGCGACGCGGGCTTGCGGATGGACGTGGAGCTCGTCTCTTCTACCGCCGAGTTCGGCCTTCCTCCTCCCCTTCTCCCTCATCGTCCCCGCCTCTCTGTTCGTCCTTGTCACCAGCCTTGACGCCATCACGCCTGCGGAGTCTGCCCGTCTGCCGACACTCCCGATGCGCATGCCCACGACCACTTTTCGACTACAACTATCGACCGCTCAATCTTAATCTATCTGCATATCTCTAATTACTCCGTCTCCAACGTCTCTCCACACTCAACGACTACTTCTAATCCTGTTTCAGGACACTGTCCTGGCTGGGTTCAACTCCTTTCCAACGTATACCATCTACGCAGATGCTATTCTTGGGCTGTCCTCCTCAAAAGAACCTTGATACCCCCTCGTCTCGCCTTCTCACGTATTGCTCTGACTCTGCTCTCCAGCCTTTCCCAACTCCCCATAACGCCTTCGGTGCCTGCACATCGCTGACAAACACACGCACCGCCCGGAGACACTCGACGCCGCGCTCCTATCCTCTGCACCCTATTCCAGTACACCTTAAGTCTCAGCCTAGCCTTTATCCAGTAGGATTTTGCGTGCCCTTATCTGCGCCCTCGCCTCCGCTCCGCACCTCGGATGCCCCTGCCCGACGCACCTCACGCGCTCCGAGTCGTCGGACGCCGTCATCGCGTGCGGCAGGTGGTGAGCACTGCCTGAGTATATTTGCGACCCTTGCATTTTCTGACGTCCTGGATGAAGCTTTCCCGCGCGCCGACTGGTACACGCACGCTGAATACGAGCGAAAGCCCGCTGCGCTGCGAGCTCACACCGCGCCGCCTCCACGCGTTCGCATGCCTGCGCCTGTTCTGCGTGAACTTGTGGCTATGCCTACGCCTCACGCCAACGAAATTGATACTCGCGCATATTCAAGGCCACTGGGAAGGGAATCTGCGAGGAGCACAGGGTACGTCGTCTCACCCGTCTCGTTCGTTGGTTTCCGTCGTTCATGCGAGTGTTCGCGTCGTGGCGGTGGCTAGTCGCATGCCGTCTGTTGCGACAGTGATCGCTCTCCTCGTGTTAGGGCTCTCGTCGTTTTCTGGGATGCATGTGGGTGCAGGGGTGGCGGCGCTGGAGGTGCGGTCAATGGAGCCGCTGGACTCCGGGAGGGACGGAGGTTGGGCAGACGTATCTGGTTTTCAGGCTTCGGTGGTGCTGTTTCCAAGGCAGCAGGGCGTGACTGCAGGAATGGGCGGATCCGGACGGGAGACCGCAACGGGGGATGGTGCTGCCCCCTATGCTGCAGTGGATACATCAATTCTTGCGGGGGCAACAGGTACACGTGGTCAGTCTGCGAGTATGAGTGCACCTACGGTGGCCAGTTTGGACTCGGCATCGACACCGGCGGTCGCCTCTCCCTCGTTGCAAACACAGACCCAGGTACAGACGCAAGTACAGACACCAACACAAGCAACCACGACAGCTCCCACAACGACGCCGACACAATCCCAGATGGATCCAACAGTTCCAGCATCAGCTAAGCCTTCGCAAAATTCGCGGGGTCAGGGAGGGACAAATGTTACTCCTGACCCTCCTGTCAATTCGCCGGCGCCGACAAACTCAAATGTCTCTTCAAGTTCACCTACTGCGGCATCTCCGACAAGTTCAGCCCCCGATATACAGCGGTCCTCCAGTGGTTTATCCCCTGCGTCGACGTCCTCGGCTTCTCCGAGCCCAGCCCCAACAACGAGCGCGGTGCAGCCTACAAGGCAAACTCAGTCATCGGGCACGACCGTGTCGACCGGGGCCGCACGGTCTTCTGATCCACCCTCGCCAGCGCCTTCACCGTCCCCTGCGAGATCATCTGCATCAAGCTCGGCGGCGTCGAGCGCGACGCAAACGGCTACTGCCTCGGCACAGTCCTCTGACTCGCCTTCCCATTCCACCCCAACGCGGGCTTCAAGCAGGGGCTCTGACCTTACAACTTCGACGTCTGATCTGTCGTCTGGTAATCCAAGCCAAAAAACCAGGTCGTCGACTGGGATGAGTTCGAGGAGCGGAGATCCGGCGGCTAGTGAGACGTCAAATACGAGTACGGGAAATCGGTCGGGGTCGGCGGGGGATACGACAACGTCAATGTCAACGTGAGTGTTCATGATTATATTTTTTTGAGCCTTCGTCTTTCGTCCGTTGTTTTCCTTGCCTTTATTTTGTGTCGGGGTCTGGTTTGGACCTTCGAGCCGGGCGCGAGTACCGCACCGGTGGCAAGCGGGGCGGATGGTGCGGGCCGACCGGACGCTCGTTGCGCCACAAGGGGTAGCAAGTCCATTCTTGTTGCGACGGTGGCAACGAGAACGCGCGCGTTTACGTGTGCTGAGGCTCGCGCGACCGCGGAGTTGCTTGGCTGCCGGGTGCTCAGTGGGCGATCGAGTGCCACAGGTGGTTCTATCCGGCCAGGATGGGAGCACGCAGTCGAATCACGGAGGGTTGAGCAGCACACGTGCCTCTTGAGTGGGCCGAGGCGAGCTCGGATACCGCGAGGCCGATTTTTCAGGCTAGTGCACCGACAAATGTCGCTGCTTAGCGCGCTGCCTCTGCACATGTTCGATCGTGCCAGGGTAGACGGTCACGATCGGCACTATATCGGTTTTTGGCTCTCTGTCTCGCTCGTCGATTTGCGGTGTCAAAATTGCTTGCCAGCTCTGCATACTCAATGTTGCAAGCTTGCCTGCGCTCATTTTACTCTCCGTGGCCGCTGGGGCGTCGACCGACCTCGCCAGCCGAATTTGATTACACGCTCTAACGACGCCAAGGCACCGGTGATAGTAATGACGTCGAGGATGTGTCGATGGACGTCCGTATCGCGCCATCCACCCGTTTGGCCAGATGGAGCGCTAGACGCTCCACCGACATCCTGTTTCCGGGAATGACCCGTCACTCTCTCTTCGCCCGCCATGTTCTCGTATCGCCCGCTTTTATATCCATCATCTGACTATTCGTTTTTGTCCAGACATGCTTCTTCGTTCACTCGTTCCTCCATGCCTCCAACATCCTCGTCCTCTTCTGACCCCTCCTCCGCCAGGGGCCGTACATCGGCCTCCGCGCGAACTGATCTTTCCGCCTCTTCAACTCGTAGCTCAACTTCGACCACAAGCAGGCTGTCTACGTCTTCCTCGAATACGGCGCGCTCGTCGTCTTCAGTGTCGACGGCATCTAGCTCTCGCACCTCTGACTCGACCGCGTTCACCACATCCACCACGTCAACCGCGTCATCATCCGAAAGCCATACGGCGCCGAGTAGCTCGCATACGTCCTCGCATACGTCTTTCATGTCGACCACGGCTAGCAGTTATCGCACTGTAGCCACTTCGTCCTCATTAGGCACGACTAGTGACAGCCGTTCGCCCGACGCGTCGCCATCTTCAACACGTTCGAACAATGACACCTCTCCCAGAACCGCATCCAGTTCTCGCTCGTTTTCCGTGTCTCTATCTGGCTCAGATCCGAGCAGCTCAGATCCTGCCTCCCATGCTTCAACGACTTCTTCCCCTCTCACATCCTCTACCGATCCTACCTTTTCTTTCACCACCACCCACCCCATTCTCCAGCCGTCTTCTCCTTCAATCACTTCTGTTTCTGCATTCACTGTACATTCTTCAGATTCTAGCACGTCTTGGACTACTTATTCTTCTCCAACCTCAACCTCGCACTCGACTTCGGACCAGATGACTTGGAGCACTATCGTTGAGACGATTGTGTTGACTTCGACCTACACTGGCCAAGACTGGACTAGTGTCACACAGTGGACGTCTGTAGTGGTTACTGGCACGCTAATCCCGGAGCAAAGTGGTGATCCTCACAATGACGCGTAAGTGTGGCTCACATTGTTGTCCTCAGTGGCTAATCGCTCTATTATTAGGCTTGCTCACTCGCCTGGTGCTCTTGCTGGTGTTATTCTCGGGTCCATGGCTTTCGTGTCTATGCTTGCTCTCATGCTGGTCCTTGCTTACCGCCGCCATCGCCTTCATCGCACGGAGGCTGAGGCTGCTGCTCTCAACGGCACTCGCGGCCGCCGCCCAAGCATGATCCTTGCAGATGACGACTATGATGACTCCCCGGGCGTAAACAGTATGTCGCCCTTTAGCCCACACGGTCCGGGCGGTATGATGCAGTTTGGGCCGCCGGTGGCCTTGCTTGCAGGTATGGGCGCTGGTCCAGCCGCATACAATCGTTTGCGCGGTGGCGAATCTGGTGCCGAGATGAATCTTGATCCCTCTGGCCATGAAATGCTGGATGGATCTGGTATGATCGCCCGCCGTCTTACCACTAGTGAGCTCGCTGACTTGGCGCTCGGACCTACTTCTATGGCCGACGTCGTCCTGACCCGGGACTCTGGCTCTGGCTCCGGATCCGGCTCAGGCTTGGCTTATGCGCGCGCGAGCGCGGGTTCTAGTTCGATGGGTCTCATTTCAGGGTATGGGGGTTCCAACGAAGCAGAGGGGAGTGCGGATGAGATGGGTATGGGCATCGGGTCGAGGGCGGATAGCGGAGAAGGTGATATGAATGCGCCACTTATTCAATACACAAACTCTCCCGATGCCAGCACGGACTTACACACGCTGTACGGAGCCGTCGACCCGACACCCTTAGCTCGTGTCGCGCGCCCGCCGCGCTCACCCACGCGCTCGCGTACGTCATCATCTGGGCCGGAGCCAGCTGCGTGGCTAAGTGGCCGAGATACAGAATACGGGACTATTCCGGTCATGAGCAGCAGTGTGCTCGCGTCGATGCCGGCACTGTCGAATTCGCACTACAGCGGGGTAGGGATCGCTTCGCCTACCAGGATGAGCGCTGCGCTGGTCAACAACAGCGATCCCGGGGACCCTTTCCGCGACCCTCCGTCGTTCTATTCGTTTGATGAGGCTATGCAAGGACCTCAGATGGGCGGTTCAGGTTCGGATGAGATAATACATGCGCCAGGGGGGGGTGTGACTGGCTACTCGAGCAGCTCATCGCATGGACATGGAGTCACTGGACTAGGGGTGGCTGGGATCTCGAGTGGTTCTTCGCATGGAGATGGCGGACATGAGCCTGGTTCTTCTAGCGGCCATGGACAGGATGGGGTCTCATCAAGTGGCCACGGGCTTTACGGTGAAGGACGTCGATCGCCCGGTCCTTCCAGTTTACTTCCGACTCAGACCGCTGTTCCTCCTGTGCTGCGCCCCCGTGGAGGGGACGAAGGAGATGATGGTGTGGATGACAGTTCGGACATTGATAGCAGAGGGCGGAGCAAGCGCCGCAGACAGAGCTTCTTCGGGCTTGGAAAGCCGCTGCCGTGGAAGAGGGAGAGCACGTCTTCGTCCGCGTCTGACGCGATGAGTGCTGGTATGCGCAGCTCGTACGCGCGCACGAGCGACTCGACGCAGATGAGCACCCACCAAGTGAGCCCTGTTGCATCGTTCTACGGCCCGGCGCGCTTCGCGATGGCAAACTCCAACAAGGCTGTCGCGACCGCGTCAACAATGGCGGATACATTGCGCTTTGCGCAGGGGCAGGGCCCACCTGGGATGGCGGCGAACGCATACACCATCCATGGACGTCCGCCATCGATGATTCGCCCCCACTCACCGACAATGCCCCCCGGTTCGTTGACCTCGCCGGCATTCCCATTCCTCTCGCAGGTCTACGCTCCACACGCAATGAATGGTTTGCCGACGGTCATGTTGTCGGATGCGGCGTCATCGTCTGAGGCCCAGCATCGTCTGAACGCGAGTGTGCCGGGGTGGCAAGGGCTTCGCGGGATGTTCGGCACGCCGGACATGCCTTCGCCTGCACCGACGGAGGTGTCAAGCCATAACGCGCCTGAGGGCTTGCTTGATCCACGTCTGGGTCAGCTGGGTGTCGTGGGGATGCAGAGTCAGGGAGCGCTCAGCTTCCGGGACGATGTGGACTATTCAAGGCCGATCGGCGCGGTGAGTGATTACTTTCTTACTCCATGTGAGGGTGCTGATTTATGTCATGCGGTCCGTAGCTGGTACATAATCGCCAGTATAGCCAGACAACGTTCCGGACGGGTGACACGCGCTCGGTTGATGTGCCGGGTGACGATGACGATGACGACGTCTCTGTGTTCCAGGAAGCGATTTCGTGATTACGTTCGATACATTATTGTTTGTCATTCCGCCTTTTTTCGATACTGCCCTTTCCTTTACCTGCTTCAGTTCTGTCCGTTATTCTCCACGCAGCGCGGGCCCAAAATGCAAGACCATGATCATATTTCTACATGCCTTCTCCCTTCCTCCTCTTTGCATCCTTATCCTGCTCTCCTTCCCATTCTTCTTAACTGACCATACAGTCCCTACGCCACGATCACGACCCTGCCCATGACTTTCCCGTCGTCCCTCCGCCTGCCTGCATATTGTAGTACTAGTCTCGCTGACTGAAAATCTGTACGTATCCATTCGCACGCTCACACACGCATTACGGCTTTGTTTGCATGTCTTTATATCGTATCGCTAGTACTCGATGCACTGAATGAAAATCCATAGATTGACTGCCTCGTGCTGAACGGGTTGAAAGATGGCGTTGGCGTTGGTTTTTCCCCCAGCGCGTAGCATAATTGTTCTTTGCTACGAATCCGGATCTTATATCAGATAGGTACGTACAAGCACTGGCACACCGATCGGACGGCCACTGGCTCGGTGCTGAGCGCTCATGGTGGACGAGTCCCGAAATTTGATATTATGTAGGGCTGCTCAATTGTGTTCCGCGAGCGAGCTGACCGAACAATTGAGCCACCCCGTTCGTTCAGAATCACCGTTCGCCGATCGTTCACCGTTCTGAGTGGTTCGTCAGGATGTAAAACTATGCCTACACCGTGACTTTCTCCTCGCACCATCAAGGTCTGTTTCTGTGATGCGTGTTCTTGGAAGAGATAAAATTCCAAAGCCGGACGCTAACAGACAATAAGGAGATGCAAGGGAATAAGTTACTAGACTACACTTCATCACTTGTAACTTAAATTTATACATAGATAGACTGTCCTATCGCGCAACAAAATGTGCGTCACGCAATCCACTACTTAGTACTTACCCTCCGGAGTCCGAGCAAGGGTTTTGCCGCAGTGTGCGACGCTATTCGAGTCCTTACTTACGTCTCAACACTTTCGCAGATCCCATTCGGAACAGTTCAGTATACTGGCGCGTATACATGATTCCCGACCGTACCTTGCCAGTGTGCATTATCTCGTCTTGCCGGACCAATCGGTGAACGCCTACCACCGAGTTCGTCAAATCCCGCAAATGCCCAGCTCTGATGGGTACTGCGAGTCTGCGACAGAGAGCGGGAGTGATCTTGTTTATATACTTTGCCATGTCTCGGGAGGATCCAACTCACTAAGCAAGCACACTCATGACTCCTTCGCAGACGGTCTTCACCCATGAATTCGACGCTCCTTCCTACAAAGGGACCACTCATGTAAACACTGGGCTTTTCATCAATAACGAATGGGTCCAGCCTTTAAAGGGCGAGACAATTGAGTACGTCTCGGCCATGTTCTTCTCATTCAGTCGGTTGACCTGTCAGCAAGCCTTGTTAACCCTAGTACGACGCCCTTCTGATCATACGTATACTTTCGAGTACGCTAATGCCAATTTACCAAAGCGACCGGCAAATTTATCACCAAAGCATCGATTGGAACGTCGGAGGATGTCGACATCGCGGTTAAAGCTGCCCATACCGCCTTCAAGACGACCTGGGGACTCAATTGCCCCGGAGCGGTGCGAAGCCGGCTGCTTTACAAACTTGCAGACCTCATGGAACAAAATATTGACGAGCTAATTGCTCTTGAATGTTTCAATGCAGGCGAGTGCTCGTTTGTCGCAGTTTGCATCCGACCGAATCTCAATCCACCCATGTGCATGTAGGCCTTACAGTCGCACTTGTCAAGGGTGCTTTGGTCGATTTCACATTGGGTATGGTACGGTACTATGCCGGATTAGCCGATAAGGTTGAGGGGAGGACAATTGAGGTACAATAACGTTATGTCTCCCATATTGATCGCTGATGTAGTTATGGCTGTAGACCAATGCAGCGAAATTTGCTTATACGTTGCGCCAACCTGTCGGTGTCGTCGTGAGTGTTTAAGTTGCTCCTTTTTCCAATTTCGCTGTAACAACGAAAATTACGTCCAGGGACAAATCATACCATGGAATGCACCACGTCAGCCGAAGTCCTCTGCCATTAAGTTCACTTGATCACTGACGTCTCAATGACAGTTCTCTTCGTTGCCGCCAAGCTCGCGCCAGCACTCGCTTGTGGCTGTACGGTTGTCCTCAAGCCCTCAGAACTCACCCCTCTTTCGGCACTCCGCGTTTGTGATCTCATCAAAGAGGCAGGCTTCCCTCCCGGTGCTTTCAACGTCGTGGTCGGCTACGGGAACACAGTCGGAAGTGCACTTACCCATCACCCCGATGTTCGCAAAGTTAGCTTCGTCGGCAGCCTTGCTGTTGGTCGCGAAGTTACGAAGGCAGCGGCAGATAGCAACCTCAAAAAGGTCACGCTTGAGCTTGGTGGGAAGAGCCCCAACATCATCTTTGACGATGCCAATCTAGATCAAGCGTTGAAGTGGACTGAATCAGGCATTTTCTCCAACGCTGGACAGAGTGTGTTTGTCTCCGCCGATTGAATGGATTGCACGACTCATCATCATAATGTTTACCAGTGTGTACTGCGGGCTCCCGAGTCTTTGTGCAGGAAGGCATATATGACAAGTTTATAGAAGCTTTCACGGCCGCTGCAAAGACACGTAAGCTTGGTGACCCGCTCTATCCCGACACAGTCCAGGGTCCCCAAGTCTCACAGACCCAGTTCGATGTAAGTCCTTTCGATAGATCCTATGCAGTCTACTATATATCTTGATGCTGATGCGATTGACAGCGAGTTATGAGATACATTGATATTGGAAAGCAAGAAGGCGCAACGATCGTCACTGGTGGGCAACGCCATGGAACGGAAGGCTTCTTCGTCCAGCCAACCATCTTTACCAACACATCTAGTAGTATGAGGATCGTTCGGGAAGAGATCTTCGGGCCTGTCGCCGTCGTGATCAAGTTCAAAACCGTGGAAGGTGTGATGTGTGGTCTGCTTTGCATTCCTCTCATGCTAACAGGCTCTGCCTTAACTCGTGTAGACGCAATCGAGCTAGCGAATGACACCTCGTACGGGCTAGCTTCTGCAATCTTCACCCAAAACCTTGGCACGGCGATCAAGGTGTCCAATGCACTCGAGGCGGGGACAGTCTTCGTAAGTCATCCGCCTTGAGGATGTCTTCCGCACTCTGATCATGGCATAGGTCAACTGCTACAACTGGATTGAATGGGCACTACCTTCGGCTGGGTTCAAAGAGTCAGGCTGGGGCAGTACAAGTGGCAAGGAGGCATTTGATGCTTACATGGAGACCAAGGCTGTCCACATGAATATCGGACTCCAGATCTAGGCCAGTTGAGCCATTGTAGGTTGAACGCGTAGAAACTGTGTAATATATGACCTGCCTCAGATAGTCACCAAGTCAGTACAACATGACATAAGTACAATACGAACGGTGGCATACAACGACCGAGGAGAGACAGGAGGTATCGCTCTGCAGTAAATAAGGGAAGATGCATGTGCGAGAGACAGCTTCGGTTCAAAGAAAACAATGTTAGGTGCAAAACCTGGGGGATTCAGATGTCGATTAAGACGTCAATACTAAGAGCTGATTTCATTGTATCCCATAACCACCACCTGCTCTTTCATTTGAATTTGACTTCATTATTCAATATCAATGTGTTGTGCGCCGGACAGAGTCGTGTCACACGTGAAACTTGAGTCGATTCGGCGAGTCAACTCGTCAATCCTCGAAATGTCGAGTCTCGATGAGTCGACCGACTCGATTCGCGGAAACACTGGGACTCTCGTACCCAAACGTGTCCAAAGACACGTCTGGAGCAACCCTGGGGAGAACCCCCTTTCCAGAAGCGTCCGATGAGCGCTCTCTATAACGGTCACATTGACCTTCTCGACCCGTGATCAAACTACCCGACTGCCCATTTTGAGTAACTACGCCTAGCGTTGAACCTGAGCATGAGCAGTCGAAAACGTGAAGAAAGATTCATGGCCAATTTAGTATCTATCCTTTGGCATTCAAGAAATATTTTGGAGGTTACAAGATGCTGGTGCATGTGGAAGAAGTTGAGGGAGAGAACAACAACGAGTCGCTAACTCTCAAGAATGCTGTGCTATGCTCAAGATTTTGAATACCATTTATCCACAAAAATATGGCTGCAGCAACATTATTCCCAGAAGCTCTGAGCTAAAGTAATCAAAGCTCCACTCAGTCCCTTCACAGCAATTCTCTTACAACTCTTCCCTACTGGTGGTATAAACTTCCCCGGTCGCCATAGTCGACGTTCGCGACTGCCTCTCGCGCTCGGGGCGTTATTACTCAAAATGGGCAGTTTATCGGGTAGTTTAATCACGGGCCGAGAAGGCCAATGTGACCGCTACAGAGAGCGCTAAGCGGGTGCCTCTGGAGGAGGGATCCCGCTGAGGTTGCCGCAGTCGTGTGACACGTCTAGGCACGAGGCAGGTCTCGTATCTAAACGGGTCGAAGACTGGTTAGAGACTGGCGCCTATTTTGTTTAGCTGCTCTTTGAGCGGCGCGCAGGTTTTCATAGGCCTGCTCCCGCCGCTGCTTATGAGCCATTGAGCGGGCTTGATCATTTGAGAAGTTCTGTGGCATGGTATGGTACGGCAATGATGTATGTAGGGTGGTCTTATGTTCGGGTTTTCGACTACTCGCGCTCGGAAGTTGCTAGGAGTAGCTACCCAAAAATGGAATGTAATCGGGTGATTAACTCTCATTTTTCTGGAACCGCGACGGGCCGAGCGGGACGCTTAGCGAGTGCCTCTTCCCTGGTCTCGTACTACGAGACCGGTCTTCCCCTCCTCCTTCACCCTGGGGGGGTCCGATCTACTAGGCTACCCGAGAGATGTCTTCAACACATTTGGATGCGAGACCACACGAGACCAGGTCTGACACCTCTAACCGGGTTCGTAGCAAGATCATGCATTCCCTGCGTGTCCCTCCTCGCCAAATCTAGATACTTAAGCTTGTTCCCTCTGTATAAAATTCGAGTCCTTCCCATCTCTCGTCCTCCAGCCCCCAGTTGATCTGTGTGTGCAGACAGGTAGTCTCAAGCCCAAGTACTGGATAGTGAGTCACTTTGGTTCTGATTCCCTGTGACTATGCGTCAACTAATACCCATACAGCTTGGCTATTATTTTCTGCTTACCCTTTACGATTCATACTTCACGCCTACAACTTCGGGACTTGATCAGTTCAAACATCACCATGCGTACGTTTATTGCTGTGGCCATCGCCGTTCCCCTATTCGTCAGGTATGTAGACTTTTGCGAGTGGTCTGCCAGGGGCGAGTCTCAGTATCGGAATGCAGTGCCATCCCTACCCCTTACTATGATGGTCTCTATATACGCGCAGACATGCTCTCAGCGTACAGTGGGCCAAGTCTCGCTGCCCGCGGCAACAGTGCTTCAGGGGATGCTGCAAGGGGATTCAAAGACGCTATGAAGAAGGCTGCAACCGAAGCTGCAAAAAAAGCCAAATTATGGGCTACGGTTAGTAAATCATCCTATCCTGTGGTCTGCATACGCGCGGAGACGGCGCTGCAACCCATCTCTCTGCTTGTGATCATTTTGTTGCGGCTATGGTCGATGTTCTCGACTATCCTGCGACATGGGCGTCAGTATGTGCTAACGATGGTTTGATACCCGGCAGCTTCCCGCCGCATATTCACGATACAAGGACTCACAGAGAGATTGGGATGTGGGACCCGGCGGCGTAAAGATACACAAGGGCGGTATGAGTATCGACGAAATGCTGAGGCGTCAGGCCGGGAACATTCCGCCGCAACTCGACCGCGTCTCAGACCATTCGGAGCATTCAGTGTCGTCGTTACATCTGCTGGGCCGCCCTCCGTTTAGCGGGCCATCACACGGGAAGCGTTCTGGTCACGCAAGGCCTGAACATGATTACGAGGGCTTTGGGGGTAGTGGCCACAAGTACGGTGATGATGATGGGCACTTTGAGCACCACCTTCGAGCATTGTTCGCGCGTGCGCTCCTGGATGCGCTCGACTGATTGTCATCCATGTAACGGGTTATAATCGTCCCTGATGAATTGTAATGTCTAGTAGCATTTCATGAATAATACGCACTGTTGTTGAGGGCTCCATCAGCAGAACGCTTAAAACAATTCATAGGATTACACATTTTGTATTTGGCGTATTTGTCATTACGAATTATATTAGAATAGATATTCCTTCGCACAAATATTACTGATTCGATTCGTTCGAGCAGAATAATTGTACGTACAAATGTTGACTACGTGTGTAAGCGAATTTGTGCGTAGGAATTGAATATTCGGCGTCCAGAACCACAACAAGAAATCAAGTTGGGTTGCAAGAGCAATTGTGGGTGACATGCGTACGCACTTCTCACATCCTATGCGTTGCTTCAGTCAGTCACCTACATACAATATTCAATTGGTAGCAACTAGAACTATATATACAGTAATGATACGAGGTAGGTTCGACCTGACGTCCTAGATTTCGGCCACCGCGTCGAAGTCAATTGGCAGAGCAAGTGCACCCGCAATTCGAACTGCATTGTCCAGAGTCAACGGTGGTCACCGTACGCGTCATGCCACTGGCCCATATGACGATTCCCGCGCACGCCGGGCCCGACAGGCGGCACTCACTGCCTCTTCGATGTCTCTGCCCCTCCGGCCTTCCTTCATTTGCAACTGCACTCTCAGACTTGATGGGAACGGGTTCTTCGCGGCGCAGCCTCCAT